TCTAGACTTTATATATTTTAGTATGAGTATTATAAGTCAAGAGATTAAGATAATTACTAAAGTCATTCAAATTATACGACACCAATTTTCATTAGTCTTATAATAATGTTCTTTTTCTTAACAGTCTATAGCAAAAGCAGTAGTAGCTAGTGATCGTCGAGCACCATCTTGAAATTCACCACAATTTTTATTTTTATATGCGGTTGTAATACTGGCTAAAGCGAAGTATTTATAACCTTGAGAATCCGTCGAGTTCAAGGAGAAGATTTATATTTAAATCATCCAAAAATTTTGTTTATGACTACAGGTTTATGTCGTCTACACATCGATAAAAACAAATTAATTCTTCTACTCAGACGGATCAAATTATTAATAAAGAATATTTAAAATCCAACAGACATTAACAACATCATCTTTTAATCAAATTCGATTCCTAGGTTATAATATTACCCGGAGTTGAGGACAACGGGATTACCGGGGCTCAAAGCAGGAAAAGGAACGGGGTGACTTTTAGTCTGTAAAAGTCTGATACTCTCTCTCGCCTCATACAAAGTGGGAGAAATCATTGGATAATTTTTCCTCTCAAAAAAAGGTTTCATTATTATTTATTTATTTATTTAAACACTTTATGTACAAATGTGTATACAACGGCGGACTTAATGCCGGATGGCATTCTATCATATTATCTGGATTCAATGTAATGGATACCACATTAGTTATTTCTTTTTAATTTCAAGTCAAACTTTTCTAATAACGCAACAAAACCAATAAAGTTTAAGAGTATGGTTTGATTCCTGGATTGTTTAAAATCTGAGTTTTTCGAATATTATTCTATGATTCTAAGTAGGTACAATCGCGAAATCTATTACCAAGTAATCTCTCAAATTCTAGATTTATTCTGATTCTGACATAACAAGAACTTCGTCCATATTTTACGGGCGTAGTCCCACGTAGTATTTAATTGCCAGTCGAGACGCCTGTCTGTCGCCACCAAAGTGTATCCATCACCAAGAAAAACACACGTTTTATTATACCTAACTTCGCAACTTTCAACCGTAAAGGTAAATAAAGAGACAGAGAAACAATTTAACAGACTATTTAGCAATTATGTTACGTAATAGGGGTGAACCTATTGCCCTATACTGGTATTACAGAATAAACATATTACTTTTTCTGTTGTGTACCTCATGCTAAGTAATCCTGAGTAATTCCAAAAAGACTTCAATAACACTAACATATATTTTTCATATAGTAGGTATGTATATTAAAAACAATACAATACATAATTTGTTTGAAACATTCCAACAAAAAATATATTATCAATTAGGTAAATAAAATATTAAAGACACGTCAACTTTGCGTAAATAAGGCTCATAATTGTACACACATACGTATGGAATCTATGTACATGACACATACAAAAGTTGCCTGCCTCGGTGGTTAATTACGTCATTACTTAACTATGCTATGAACACAAACATTTGGGTTCGATGGCCAAGTTGTGAAAGAGGTTTTCATTTCGATATTCGCTTTAATTGAACTAAATCTGGAATTCTCCAGAGTATAATAAACCACGAAGACTCGTGAAAAATTATATTGAAAACTAGCTGACCCGGCAAACTTCGTCTCGCCTCAATTTTTTTTTCTCACCTTTTAAACCTTCTCTGGACTTCCACGAACATTTCAAGACCAAAATTAACCAAATCGATTCAACCGTTCTCGAGTTTTAGCGAGACTAACGAACAGAAATTCATTTTTATTTATATAGATTTACTAAAAGATAAGTATGTGTACCAGATTTCAGCAAAATTGGTTAAAGATATCTGCTTCAAAATGGAGTTGCAAGATTCCACTTCACACACTCATTGCAAGTCAAGTCTCTTTATTTTGGTCTCTATTGGTCCCAAAATATTACTATAGCTAGTGACAAAATTATCTAACTTAAATGTGTGTACCACATGTAGACATGATATTATGTCTGGACTACATAAATTAAATGTGTTATGAATTTATTCAGAATAAGAACTTAAGTACACAACTATTGCTATCTATATGCATAAATAAAAAAACGTCCTTGCATGGCTTGAACACACTGTACTGTAAATTAACAATAGGCTAATTTAGTAACGTTTATTTTTAAGTTAACTGTAATTAGGTACATAATTCTCGAAGAAAATATTTTATAAACATTCATGAGTATGGGTATTTTATTCTTCATCTCATTCTTCTTCTAATCTGACTGACTGAATGACTTTGTTACCATTAACCTAAGCCACACTAAGGTGAACCTGTCGGTCAGCTGAAATATTGAACCGACCTGTTTCAGGATTACGTCATACTGCTGAAACCTTGGCCTTTCAATATATGTCGCCTTCATATAGCCTAGCCTAGGTAATATTTTGTGTGACCTCGATGTTATCTGGATAAGCTAAAATGATGCCTAAAAGCTTAAGCACCAAGTAATGTAATGTACTATTTTTATTTGGTCTATGTTTTATAAGTAAGTATACATATTTCAGTTTAATGAAAAATGCTTAAAGTCTACTGTAAGTTCATCTTCGGCGTTATGGTGAATTAATATGTAAGTACCGACATATGTATTCTTTGAATTCATATATTTTTGTTCCGTAATTTAACTCGTCGAGTACCGGTTTTGTAGACACAATTAAAGAACAATAGGTTGCGGTCACCGGTGACCACTTGGTGTTTGACAGTTTAACTCGTCGAGTACCGGTTTTGCAGACACAATTATAGAACAATAGGTTGCGGTCACCGGTGACCGCTTGGTATTTGACAGTTTAAACCACCAATAAAAATATAGCTATACATTTTCTATATATTATTTCGACCCACTGTATTAATTTCATCATTATTGACGTCATGACAATATCACAGTCACATTCGTGATATGTTTTACTATAAGGATGTGATTAATACCTATTACATTTTTACTAACAATATAACTTAGAGCTTCGTGCACAACAGTCGATCTTACAACGAATAGTTCATTTTAAACTGGGTAAGTATATGTATAGGTAGTAAAGGTGTCGTCGAAACCTTTTTCGTCATTAGTCTGCTTATAACCATGACGATAGTGTGAGTCATGATAATAACTGCTTGTGACGTCAGATTGATGATGTCATTAAATGATCGAACATCAGGTTGAGCTTCGTTCATTATGGCAAGGACTTGCCTTTTTTCCTTTTTTATATGACAAAACCGATTTTATATTTGTGTTTTTTGTGCTATTAAATGGTTTGTTATTCATCAAAACATGATTTTAGTGTATTATTCATTAAAATCTTTCACTTTGCCTTCTAACTGATTTAGAAAAGTTTTGTTAAAATTTCTGTAAAATATGCTTGATACGTTATATTTCACATAAATATAATCAATTTACATTTAAACAATACAGATACCGACGAAAAAAAGACGGACAATGACTTATCAACAATTTAAGTGTGGGAGAGCCATGCTTCGGCACGAATGGGCCGGCTCGACCGGAGTGATATCACGGCCTCACAGAAAACCGACGTGAAGCAACGCTTGCGTTGTGTTTCGTCGTGTGAGTGTGGTTACCGGAAGCCCAATTACCCTCCCCTTCCCCAATCTCCCCAATTCCTGAATCCCCAACGATCCTCAAACTCCTAATCCCAAAAAGGCATCGCACTTGTAACGCCTCTGGTGTTCCAGGTGTCCATGGGCGACGCCGATTGCTTACCATCAGGTGATCCGTCTGCTTGTTTACCGGCTTATGCCATAAAAAAAATTCTAAAAGTAAAAATATTAAATTTAAAAAAATAATGATATGTGTTAGCCAGTCTACTAATACGAACAAAAAAATATATTACACACATTAATAGTAGTGAGTACATAGAAGGGGTCAACTGGACAAGTCATGTATGATTCATAATAATCAGACAGTTTAAATGCCATTTGTATGATAAACGACTGATTGACAAACCAGACGACTAACCTAAACCCCTATTATATACTCGACTCCTTTTAACACAAGTAAATTCAATTTTCAAAAGCAATTATTTCCTCGCATATCTTTTACATAATATGTTTAATTTTATAAATTACTAGCTGTGCCCACGACTTCGTCCGCGTGGAATACTGATTCACAGTTCCTCCCCCGTAGGTGATAGCGTGATAATATGTAGCCTATATGTTGACCCGACCTTTTAGTAATATTCATGCAAAACTTGAAGGAAATCCATACAGTACTTTTTGAGTTTAACCCGGACATACATACAGACAAACAGACAAAAATTCTAATAAAACATATTTTTGGCTTCGATATCGATTGTAGATCACGCTTCAACGATTCTTTTTTAATATTTAATGTTCAATTGTCACTTTCCTACGATTATATGTATAATTCATCAATAATTATATGTATACATAGATGGATACTGTTTTAATGTAATGGTTCAAGTTAAATACTAGTCGCAATTATAAGTATGAACTAAAAAAAAAGACTAAGTACTAAAAATGTTTGATCGTAATTCTAGGAAGACCCAAAATATCTTCGACTGATGCTAATTTAAATGCGATCTACGTAGACGAGTGCTCGTGTAATCAAAAAAATGTGGAATAAGTCTATATATTTTGTACGTGTACGTTTGCATCGCACTGAGCTCAGCGCCATCATGCGTGCTACTAACCTTGACCACCAAAGCAAGGGCCCTCGAAGGTCACACATTGTTTTATTGATGTCATACCGTATCATAATAAAAACATTGATATTCTTTACAGATTACTACCACCATGACCTGATAACTTCATAAAAATCGTACTATTGCATAATCGTATCTGAAAACATAACAATTCCACCCAATATCGAAAAGGTAAGAAGTGTATTGATAAAGTGATGTAGAAATGGCTCTTAAAGCTTTTATTACAGAACTTTTATTTCAAAAGTAAGTAAGTACCTAGTTATAGTAAGATGACATCATCTGTTCGCGTCGGCGTCGACGAGTCGAGGGCACAAGACGTGGTTAGTTTGCACCAGGCCCCAGTTTGAAATAGCGCGCGCGGTGGACACCACGTACGTTACAAATTCAGTGTGAAAAAAGTCAAGCAGTCCATAAATCATGGCTAACATAGTGGGTAAGTGCACTTCCTATACCTAATCAATTTACCAAAAAATATCACAAAAAATAGTGTAGGTAAATTATTTACTTTTTCGGCGCATATTTGCGACCGGTCGTTTTATTAGACCTTGAAACTTTAAACGCATAGGTAGGTATACTGCGGACAATACAGCGACAGATTTTGAGTGATATTTCTAGTCTCACTTTATTTAATAATCTAGTGTTGTTTTTGAGTAGCCGGCTTCGACTACCTAACACCGGACCCGGCTTTTCTTGGCATAAGGCCAGCGTCGGGCGTGGTGATGCGGATAGAATTTTCGTTAGAAACAATCAATATAAACATTTCTACCGGTTCTTGGAAAATGTCATGAATAATAATCATGAAACGAACCATACATCTTCATCAAGCGACATGTACGAAATGATGCTTTATTAATTAAAATATAAGGTGTATTTTAAGAATGTGAAGCTAAGTAAACTGGCTCTCACAATTAACTGGTTTTTTATTATGTATGTTTGCATTTACATTGTTGGATACTTACGAACATAGTAAACGCTGCAGTATGAGATCATCCTCAATTCCGTCACCATCGAGGTTACCTACACTACTGGTTCTAGATGTGTTAACCTGTTTATGTAGGTACCTACTTATTTAGTTGTTTTCCTGCATGAATACCTACTAAATGTAAATTAAATAACGCAGCTATTTTAGCATAAACATGGTAATTAAACATAGTAGGTACTTATGAACTTCCCTATAAGAACATAACATGACACCTAGGTTATTTAAGTCAATAGTGGTTGACTTGAATAACTGCTAAGAACTTGTAGATCTACATGTCCAACCCGCGTATCAAATCCAAAACATTCAATCAGTAACGCAATAAAACCGGTGTTTTTTTCGAGACCAAATCTATGAACTTCGTCATCGTCAACAAAGTAATCAAAGAGGTAGTGCGTTAGGTCATAACGATAGATTGGTCTAATTGACCTAATTTATCTCTGTATAGTGAAACTATAGGTAGACACGGACCGTCGTCAAAACCGATAACAAATTACAAACAATGTTTTAACAAGTAAACATTATGACAATATAATTCATCACTTACACGCTAATCTATGCAAACGAACAAAAACTCTTGTTATTATTATGTACAATCTCAAGATTTGGCATGCAAAAACCACCTTTATGCCATAGAAATAAACGTACTATCACCATTATCTTGTGATGAAGTAAACAAGAGAAGATAGCTTGGCTGCTTGACTGTAGTCGTGGCAAATTATCGTTAATTGCTAATTATCAACCAGCCGTGTTTATTCTAGACTTTTATTGAAGTCTAACTAATTGTTAGCACTGTTTTTACCTTAGTGCGGTTTTGCCATTGAAAATGACTAGGAAAATATTGATTGAAATACCTAATAAAACTTCTATAGCCTTATTTAACTACTTTTTGTATGTTATTCAGGGCAATGACTATAAGATGACTTTATATTTAAACTGGCAAAAGTCACGACATCGCCGCGACCGCACACGCTGCTGATAAGGAAGAGCCCCTCTGTGGTTCGAAACTAGTAGAGCGTTTCTCAGTATATTCACGAGATAAACCCGCGATTTTTAGTTAATTTAGTATTTCTCACGATAATTATTTAAAAACTCGGGGTTTTCAGGAAAGAAGTCAAAGTCTAAGTCAAAACCATTTATTTCAATTAGACCAGAGAGGCACTTTTGAACGTCAACAGAAAAATTAAAAGTGAAGCTATTTGCTCATTCCAAGGTGTAGATTCCTATGGAGAAGAACGAGCAAGAAACTCCATAGGTTACCTACTCTTTTTCAATCAGGTTCACTTCAAAGGCTACTACTATGTATACTAGAAGTACTTTTTATCTAGGGAATGCGGGCGAAACTAAGCAATCAGTATTCTTCTCATTTGTAATAAAAATATCCATGATGTGAATTAGAAACATGACACTACGGTATTAATTCCTGCAGGTAGCCATTTTGTTCTGCACTAGGTCGTGACTAGCTTACTAATAGACAGGGTGTGTCTAAATCTAGTGTGATTGGATTACTAACATTCTACTGAGGTTTTTCCAATACAAAAACGTTAAGTGTAGTTTTTAAAAAAACAAACGAACTAACAAATATCATACTGTGAGCACAGCTGTGAACAAAACTTTTAAACATAAATTATCTACATAAAACAAACGGTGAACGTTAACATTTTTGAATAGCTAAAAACCAAAACGTCCTAACAAGGCGCGTCCGTTCGTAGGTGTTTATTCAAGTATTCTATGTGGTCTGTGTTTAAATCCTCGAACAGACACGCCAAGATAACTTTGTGTTCAGATACACCCAACTACAGATAGGTAGGTAGAGGTTACAGAATTGATTTGATAGGATGACATCATCGCCTCGGACTACTTTCATAATAAGCGAAACAAACGCGACAGTCCTACTGCGCAGGCGCCATGGACGCGTTTCTGCAAACTAGCTCGAAAACAACCTCTATACACGCAGCAATGAAAAACTTCCAATGACATAATCAAGTTATGAATTCGTAGGTGCAGAGCGGGGCGCTATAGCTCGCATACCAACACATCGGCCTATATTTAGACCTGTATAAGAGACATGCCTCGAATGGAAGGCAATGGCCGTATGTCGTTAGACTAAATAGGAATCGAGGAAAGCACTAAGAACTGTTTACAGAATTTTAAATAGCTCATAAGCCATCGACCCGTTATTGGAATGCAGGGTTGCGAAAATAGCGTTGTTACTATCGAGACTCAAATATAATGTATAAATATCTAACTTCATAATATGAAATTGTACGAGACTAGACTGACTGCGGAGCATGTTTTATAAATTAAACGAAAGTGAAAATAACTCCGCACATTACATAAATCAAAGCTAATAATAAATTATATACATTAGTAACATACGTACCTATTATATTATTATTATTAGCATTCAACTTAGTCAATGAAAGATTTTCATTTAAATGTGTTTTGTTGATTACAGATTTGTCTACCGAGGATAAACTCGAATACCACTTCTTCCCGGTATCGAGCGGCTCCGTGTCGTTCAAAGTCAGGACCCCCAATGATGCCCACATCGCCCTTACCATGGGACCTCAACCAAGCGATCCAATGATTGAGGTGAATATACATCTTTTAATTGTTTTCACTTGTTGTCATGGTCGACGATCAGGAACAATTTGATTTAAGAAACACACAGACGACACATTCTGTTATACATACATTTACTTCTGACCAAAAATTCTTGTCGTATTATTCTAGGACACAGTTGGACAGGTCATTTTGTTGCCACTATAATTATTCTATCTGTCTTATCTCGTATCTACCGACGCGACGCACAAACTTATTGTTTTTCTGTCAGTGTATCCAGTAAACAAAAAACTTTCATATAAATAATTTTATTTCGACAGATTTTCCTTGGAGGTTGGGGTAACACAAAGAGCGTGATCAGGAAGAACAGAACCAAACCCGACAAAGTTGAAATTGAGACTCCTAACATCTTGAATGGCGGCGAATTCCGTGGCTTCTGGGTCCGTTGGGACAGTGGTATCATCTCCGCTGGCCGGGAAGGCGAAGCCATTCCCTTCCTCTCATGGGCGGACCCTGAACCATTCCCAATTGCCTTCTTCGGTGTGTGCACCGGTTGGGGTGCAACCGGCTCCTGGAAAATCGAAGGTAACTTTTTCACGTTTACCCTTAAAAATCGTTATGGCATAAAATGTACCCAACAAAATAAATTACCCCTTTTATTATCGGTACAGATGGGGCTGAATTCAATACTCCGGACCAGTTAGAGTATAGATTCGGACCCGTCCTCTCGGGTTCTCTGAGATTTGAATATCGCGGTCCCCACAACTGCCATGTAGCTTTGACGCCAGCACCTGCTGAAGTGGACCCTATGTATGAAATCATGCTTGGTGGTTGGGAAAATACCAAGTCGGTTATTAGATACTGCAGGCAGAAACCTGATAAGGTAGGATAGAATGTCGTGATCGCCGGTGTAATACTTGTTGGAACATTCCGTTAAACACTTACTGTTGGCCCGTAGGTTGAGGTCCCGACTCCAGGAATTATGAATCCTAACCAATTCAGGCAATTCTTAATCGAATGGAAATGTGGCAGAGTGATTGTTCGCGACGGCGAGTCCGGCATGGTTATCATGGAGTGGGTAGACCCCTCACCATTCGGCATCACCCACTTTGGTGTGCGCACTGGTTGGGGTGCCCGTGGACAGTGGCGTATTACCCATTTCGGCAATGCCCACGCACAGCCTCGTTGAGTAAAATTTTATTAGAGGGAATGCTTTGGATGTTAATTGCTGACATTTAATCCGCATTATAATGCGTTTTATTTCTGATGTTTTTGTCGATAGATGAACTAAATTTTTAATCGCTGTCATCACCACCGTTAGACTAACAAAAATAAATATTGTGTTGTAAGAAAACTGCGTGTTTGGAATCCTGTCGTATGGTAAAGTTGTTGTTGACGTCTGCATCGGGATGTTTGTCTCGGATTGGTGTTTGGTACGTTGGGTACATTTTGTGATTAAGCCTTTTTTATTATATGTTTTTCTCTTCCTTGGCCACGCATTTTCTTGTTATTTTATACCTAGCACTTGAGTTAGATTTCTATATTAATTCATAATCTCCGCTGCCTACGGTGAGTCGCTTCCTCAAACAAACAAAGAAAAAACGTAATTTTAAAACAAATATTTTATTTATTTCAACATTGCTATTGCCATTCATATCTATAAAACAACGTGCATGTAAACAACTGGTTGGCTGATATAGGTACCACAGCGACGCACCAACTTAATTCCTACTCTAATTGTATAATTAAATCACTGCACCATGCACTGATAACTGTCATGAACTACTAAACTTCTGTAATCCACAAAATAACAGTCAATACTAATGGGTGAAAACTAGACACTAGCTGTAATAAGTTAGTTTTCAGTACTTACTGGTTTATGTAAGTAAAGCTGTATAATAATTGTACCATAATACTGGCTACATGGTACAATTTCTCTAATTGCATCTTGTTTATGATTGTTGCCTGATTGCCTGCCTAGATGGAAAATACCATATTCTTGCTATATTTTCATTACCTATTTAGTTTTTTTTACTTTTTTTGCTTCATTGTGGAAGAAAGACTGTCTTAAAAATTCTTCATCATTGCAATGAAACAAGGACGGAACTATGTTGTTATTATACAAAATTAAGTACCTACCTATTGTATTCTGCTTATCCTTACCTTGCAAGTTTATTTTAAAACTGGTTTACGATTGTTTGCATTATTTTGTAGTTCCCCCATCGGCGCCAGTGGCTGCACCCCTGTACGCTGCACCCCCCGGCTACCCTGGTGCTATGGGAGGCTTCAGTGCCCCAGTAATGGCTGGACCGGGCAACTGGGTTGATGCCAGTGCTGGTCAAATTCCCCCTGGTGCCGTCGTCGGTGGACAGGACTGCAGTGGCGAGCCTCTCTACGTCGCCAGGGCACAGCACGAAGGAGCTCTCATCCCCGGAAAGCTTTGCGCTTCACACGGTTGTGCGTACGTTCCATGGGGCGGTTTGGAACACGGCAAACCTCAGTACCAGGTAAGGTTTATTATTAATTTTAGTCTATAGGGATATAATGTTTTTTAACGAATCATAATTATGATCATCATACAATTTAATCTGCAAGAGATAAAAGTTGGTCTGGTGATTAATTACCTATTATTTTATTTTCTAGGTGCTGGTTGGCGGCCCCAACAACTGGGTGCGCACTAACGGCTCGAACGTGCCTCCCAACGCGTTCCCCGGCGGTCAGTCTGAAGATGGCGAGCCCCTGTTCGTGGGCCGCGTGAACCACGAGGGCAGCCTCACCACCGGCAAGGTGCAGCAGTCGCACGGAGTGTGCTACATCTCCTTCGCTGGACAAGAGCTCGGCTTCCCCGACTACGAAATCCTCATGCACTAGATTATACCACCAGTAATTATTTAAGAATCTCAGGATCTGTCCGTACTGTGTAACTTAGGAATACTGCTTCCACACCTATACGAGCAATTAAACGGTGCATTGAAATTGTGCCTAGAAATAAAAAGTCATGTCACGCTGTGCCTGTTCGTACGTTATATGTTAATTGTTGTAATGCACTGCATAATATTATTCGTTTAAAGTTATTGTGTTATGAAACGCATAAATGACGGTAACTATAATATTTTTGTTAAATTATTATAAAGTATTTACCAATTAATTATTATGTATTGTTTTATTTCATATATCCTCAAATAGGTACTTAAGAAATACGATGAGAGATTCATACTTATGATTTACGACTGAATTGCAAAGTCTAATTAATCTGGAAATCTGTAGCTACTACTAGACATAACAGAATAAGTAAGAAAGAACTATTGTTTGATAGTCTCTTTTTACAGTCAAACGCTAAAATGAATCTTGTTATCATGTCCGCCACAAGATTTCTACACATACATATGTCTATAAATTATACTAACTTGCTAATAATACGAAAACGTATTCTGATATTTGCAGTTTCCCCAGTAATATTGGAACCGGTACCCCTTAAAATGTTTCCTGGTGATGGTACACTTCACTGGCTTCCTATGACCAATGGCCAATTACCTCCGGACGCAATGATTGGCGGCTTTGAAAACGAATTCACATACATAGCCAGAGCTTATCACAATGGGTCAATATGTCCTGGACGATATATCCCCTCCACTGGAAAAGCTTTTGTCCCCTGGGGCGGGAGAGCACATAAAAAATGGGAGTTTGAGGTAACTACAGAATGTCATTCCATACTTTTAACCAAGCACTTATTTGTATGTATGTATGTATCATCATTGTCATAAGCAGTAGAGCTACCTGTTTTTCCTCCCAATTTCAACCACGAAATTGTGTTTCTACACATTTTCAGATTTTATGCGGATTTAATGCTATATGGGTTAAAACAAGATCTAACATCATCCCGCCGAACGCATTTATTGGTGGAAGGTCAGAAGTGCGGAACGAGCCTCTGTACATAGGACGAGCGATGATCGACCAAAATCTCATATCTGGGAAAGTGCACACCCTTTATCATCTCTGCTTTTTACCGTACAACAGGAGGGAAGTTGAAGTATCTTCTTACGAAATATTAGTTATACCGGAGAATGAAATACCACAAGCTTTGCCCTTTACATATTAACTGGCAGCAGTAGGTATGTACATAAATGTATAATTGTATATTTATGGCGCAATACTGAGTAACTGGCAGCTGAGTCTATCAATAATTCTCACAAGGAATAATCCTATGTAGGACTCAGGATTTCAGTAACTGTTGTTCCAATTTTAAATTGTGTGAAATTGTAAGTTTGTTTGTATAAATTGGAGATGGAGACACAGAAGCTTTCAGTTTTGGGTCCAAGTTTTTTTAAAATAAAAATACTTATATTATTTGTTTTATTTGACTCCTACTGACTAGCCTACTATTGCCCGAAATACATAAGTACAGCACCAAATTTTCCTTTCTCTGTGAAATGAAATGAGTTCACTTACTCAGTTGAACCTGGAAGGTAGTATGTTTCGTAAAGTGACTGTCATGAATTACGCGCTTCAGACATTATGGATGATACCTTATGGGCTTATGCGAAGAGTCAGCACCTTAATCTACAGCTACACGCTTCACCCCCTTTTAAGTTCCACCTATATGTATTTTTTTTTTGTTAAGGGGGAAAATCATCGAGTGACTGCTCCCGCTTGGGTGAGCGGGAGGGGGTGTCAGACTCTTACTGACTAAAAACCACCCTGTTCCTTCTCCTGCACGTCGAGTCGGAGCCCCTGTTACCCGTTAGGTTCTCCGCGACATCTATATATGTATACAGTGATAATTTTGTAAAAATTGAAAATATAAAAAAATAGTGGGGCGGTACCTATTACTAGATACCTAAATTCCAAGACACTACCCTTAACATCTCCAAAAGTATAGGTATCCTTGGTGTCGACATATCTAGTAACGTCCAGTTCCGTAGTCACTTAGAAGACAAGGCTAAGCTGGCATCTAAAAAACTCGGTGTGCTAAACAGAGCGAAGCGGTACTTCACGCCGGGACAAAGACTGCTTTTATATAAATCGCAAGTTCGCCCCCATATGGAGTACTGCTCTCATCTCTGGGCAGGAGCGCCAGCATTCCAGCTTGGACCTTTTGACGCGGCCCAAAGGAGAGCTGTAAGACTTGTTGACGATCCTATACTTACGAGCGGTATCGAGCACTTAAGTCTAAGGAGAGATTTTGCCTCCTTGTGCGTGTTCTACCGCTTGTATAATAGGTTATGTTCTGCGGAATTATTTGATATGATGCCCACGGCCACTTTTTATCATCACACCGCTCGCCATCGACAGGGGGTTCACGCTCAGTTTTTGGAGCCAAAATGGTCCCGTACAGTTCGGTTTCAGAGGAATTTTCTCCCGCGGACCCTCCGATTGTGGAATGAACTCCCTGCCGTGGTTTTCCCAGTGAGCTACAACATGGGGTTCTTCAAGAGGGCAGTGAAGAGGTTTTTTAAGGGTCGGCAAGACGCATGTAATGCCCCAAGTGTTGCAGGCGTACATAGACCACAGTAAGCGCTTACCATCAGGTGGGCCGTGTGCTTTTTTGCCACCGTCGTGGTATAAAAAAAAACCTAGATACTGAACCCAAAAATGTGAAAAAAATGTTTGTATGTCTGTCTGTATGTTCACACATCAGTCAGTTAGCATAACAGTTAAGAAAAATCCTAAATCTGAAAAATCTAATAATAGTTACCTGATCCGGGAATTGAACGCGAGAGCTACCCCTTGATGTCGTGCTTGTGACCACTCGATCCATAAGGATTTTTTTAGATTAACAGAAAATATAATCAGACGAATATCGAAGTATTCAAAATAAAATAAAAATTCAAGATTATTGAAGCGTCATTATTGTAGCTAAATACCGATTCGGTCTTGACCATTTTTAGTGGCTGTCATCGCAACATATTCGCAATAAGGTTTCAATTATAATGTTAGTATGTTTCAGTACCTATTTCTAAATAAAGATTAAATTAATTATACAAGGTGTATAATGAGATGTACAGGTGAAAAGTAGACACTCGATGGTAGTCGATACTAGAAAAGAATAAATGGCCATAGACAATTGTTACTAAGAATATCGCACATAGACAAAGATAATAATAGAGTACAGTACAGTCATATTGAAATAGGGGTAAATAAAACCAAAACAAAACATCTATATTTGGTAAATAATGTAAATACATAATAAAACAGTGTTGCATGTTGCATCCCACTCCCGGCGTCCATTTTACTAAAAAAAAGTCTTAGGTCGCGTCACTTCGAGTTCGGGTTGTTTACTATTCGAGTTGGTTTGAGTCATTCTAATAGGCTTTGAATACGATTCTCATAGAACCGGCCAGTGCAAGTGGTAATGAGTTAAAACTACTGTGCAGTTTAATATTTAGTTTTGTTTGCCAGTTTTTGCAACAAAATAATGGGTGATAATCTAGGTAAGTTATTAAAAAATAATGTCCAAGGCTTAACAACAATGAATAATATTGATATAAATAAATCATGAGCAAGTGCTAAAATTGCACCATATTACAATTTTGTTTAAAGTATGCGTCATATCTTTACAGAAATTACGACACGGCCTCGGCATCACCATGTTTTCTACAAATTCACAGCCAATGCAATCAACTTTGAAATTAAAGCCCAGGGCAATGCAGCCCTTGGAATATCTAATAAACCAGAGCAGAACTGTGAATTTTTGGTGGGTGTTATTATAACTAAAATATTATATATTTAAAATATTGAAAAATTCCAATTAGACATCATAACATGTCCACTATAAAGAATTATTTAAGCCCAGGTCTGTCGGAATGAAGATCTAAACAACAACAATGTATTTTTACTGTTTTATACACTGACTGATGTTAAGGTAAAGCTTCAAAATTAAATATTTATAATTGTACTTCACAGATTGGTATAGGTCACAACAACCAGACATGGATAAAGAAAGTTAGAGGGAGAGGAGTATATAGGGAAACTATAGATACTCCGAATATTTTGTCCGCCACAGAGTATAGAAGATTTTGGGTTTCATGGTATGGAGACATTATACGTTTGGGAGTGAATGGTAATAGCAAGCCTATAGTAACATTTAGCAGCAGGACCGCAGAATTAAAATATGTTACTTTCTTAGCTCTTGATGATGTCAGGAACACTGTGCACTGGAGAATTGAAGGTGAGTAAACTTGTGGTTAACAATTTTTGTAACTAGTTATAACAACAAAAAATACAACATTGGTTTGTGTGAAACTCTGTATTTATTTACCAAAATCAAAAAAGGTGGTTTTAGTTTGACCTATATGTATATTTGTGTCTGATTATCTCATGATTGGCAGAACCAATGTGATGTGGTTTTCAGCAAAGTGTATATTAACACTAAGGAGAAAGTTTTAATGTATTAACTTGTTGAGTACCGTCATATAGACACAAAGAACAATAGGTTGTGGTCACCAGTGTCCTCGCAGTGTTTGACAGTTTAATAAACAAACCTCAAAAATAAAGAGGTTGAAGTTGTTTTTTTTTTTAAATTTACTTGTACTTTATGAAAGAATTATTTTTTGATAGAAGGTTTTTGATAGATTTCCATTGTGTTGATGTAAAATACCTATTCTTATAAGAATTTTACAACATTTTTTTAATCTGTTATACATAAATATGTACAATAATGAATATATTTCAGTGCCACCATACATAGAAAAAACATATGTTATGCAACCTATTTCCGGAGGTGACCCATTTTGGGCGCGATATGATCGCACACATAACTTCCCAGACAATGCTTACATTGGTGGACATGAAAATGAAAACTTATACATAATAAGGGCTGACCACAATGGGTCATTGACTCCAGGAAAGTATATGACCTCAAAAGGAATGGGCTACATTCCCTGGGGAGGAGAAGCTAATTCTAAACTCACATTTGAGGTAAGATATTTTTAGTGCTTGAATACAATATTTAATTTTTATTCTTTGATTTAGTTAAAGTACCATTAAGTTAATTATTGGTTCTCTTTCTATATACATATAAAATTCTATTACCTGTATCATGGTACCAATGTGATAACTTTTCAAGAAAAAAAAAACATTCAGCCGAACATAGTACCTCTTCTATTTTTTGAAGTCGGTAAAAAATAAAAAATTGCCAATTAACCGCTTGAAGCCCTTATATAAAACACAATAGAAAATACATTGTGGTTAGCGTGGATCCACGTTTAAACACACGATGGGTTAATATTATGGTGTTGATTGCCACCAGATGACATTGCAATTCTCATACAAAATTCTAATTTGTCACCCCAATGCAGTGTTGAGAGTATGGAATAATTGATCTATTTACCTTTAAACTAGTTTAATATTTATGTTATAACTTCCGTGAGACATACTAAATTAATTATTATGTTTTTCGGCTTACTCACATAAAACGCGTCGCGGGTGGCGGAATGCTGCTCACAAATATGAGCCTTTAGCATGGCTTAAAACTAGTAGAATTCCTCGTCAAATAATTACGTGAGTAAGCCAGAAACATAATTAATTGAGTTTAACTCGTCGAGTACCGGTTTTGTAGACACAATTATAGAACAATAGGTTGCGGTCACCGGTGACCGCTTGGTGTTTGACAGTTTAATGTAAGATAAGTGTGTAATAATGTGTATGGTTTGTTTTAGGTGCTATGTGGATTTAATTTTACTTGGTTGCCATGCAAAAATACTGATGCTATTCCCGTCGGAGCTGTAGTAGGTGGTTACTCAGAGGATCCAGGAAAAGAGAAACTGTACATTGGAAGAAGTAAATATTTAGAGCACTTAATTCCGGGAAAAATTCAACCATCACACAAAGTCTGTTATATACCGTTTGAAGGACGAGAAATAGGCTTAGACAAGTTTGAAATACTGGTTGTGCCTGATGACGGTAAGAGATGTGTTAACAAGTTCCTGATCCCTGGCGCACCAATTGACCATCGTTTTGTTTTTCGTGAAGAAGAACAGATGAACATGGACATTGAACATGCCGTCAATTTTGAAGAGTATGCTGGATTTTTAAATCCAGAAGTTGATGGTTGATGGCCATAAGGGTATTTGATATTACAAGTAATGTAATGTAGGTTTCTACTTATAGTAATTAAGGACATATTCGTAAATATTTTACCTTATTGGTATTTTTTACTTTTTTACTATAATAAGTATAACGCCTTGCCCTTTACGTCAGGCAATAAATTCTACTCAAGCAACTAAGTGTGGACAGCTTATCAATAAAAAAATAAATATTATTCGTAATAATTATTGCTTTTTGTTTCATTTGAAGCATTCAATTCATGACAACTATCGATAGTCCCGAACGAAATTGTGTGAATTTGGGAATCGATGACGGTAAAAATTATAGACTATAATAAATAATGAACACAGATATACCTAATAATGAAATAAAATTTATAGAATTTTTACCAATATTGAGTTTAATGCATAACAAGTAACAACTTCGAAAAATAAAATGGTGAATAGTTTTACAAAACTGACTTCAAAACTAAAAACCTGTGATTTGCATGTAATGACTGCTACTTGTATGTAATGATGGCATGAGACATCAAAAAATGTAAAATGAGAGTAAAATAAGAAAAAAATAGTTGCTAATTATAAATTATATTTTTATAAAAGACAAGTTGCAATAAAAATTAAATTCAATAAAATAAATTAAAACATATATATAGGAGAATGACGAGGTATTGGATATTCTGATTCTTGATCTGGTGTCACTAAGATTTCATAAATATCTACTTCAATTTCTTGACCATAAAATGGTAGATAGCACAATTTATAATGAACGTGGACCTTTCCAGGAACAAGTTTGCATCCTAACATGGCCCTGCCAATATATAGAGGTTCATTATTAATTTCGGAAAATCCACCAACAAAAGAATTTCTTGGTATGTGATCAGCTCTTGTTTTCATCCAATTAGCATTAAATCCACATAATATCTGAAAAAAATAATATTTATAATTAAAGTGACAAAAATATTTATAATTTAAAGTCACAAAAAAATAAATAATAATATTATATTTATTTAATAGTACCACAGTTCAGGGTACACCTGTACTGTCAATTCAATTCAATTCAAAACTATTTTAGACGCTAATTTTATGTTTAAGTAGTATATTCTACATTTCATTGATATTTTTATCAGTTAATAATAATAACTAAACTTTTATACCTCAAAGTTTTCTTTCGGATGTTCCATGTGCCCCCAAGGAACAAATGCTCTACGAGTTGATGGTACATATTTTCCAGGACATATGGAATTATTATGTTCAGCTCTGGCTATGTAAGTAGGTTCTGGTTCAAATCCACCAATCATTGCATCTGGTGGTAATACACCATCAATCATACGAACCCAACGAAGTTTTTCACTAGGAAATAATTTTTCACCTATCGGCTTCAGTAATACTGGTGAAACTGTAAAGAAAAATATTATATTTTAAATATATTTTACTATGAACATGTATTGTGTGTGAGATTATTAACCTGCTTATTAATTAAAGGATCAATAAAATATGTATAAAACAAAAGCCTTTGTTTTAATCTACTCTCTATAGTTACATTCGTAAATGAACTTACTTTCAATAATCCAATCCACGGGGTGTTCTGGTGTGCTTTGAGTTCTGTACGAAATATATCCCACAACAGGACGATTGTAAACATCGTTAAATTTAACATATGGTTCTTGCCCTAGTAAACTTATTGTAAGTTTATTACTGTACCAAGTCACACAAAATTCATGGTACTCGGCTAAATTTTCAATGCCACTGGGAAAACTCTGTTCATTGTTATCAAGTAAACTCATGACCTTGGTTGGTTCTCCAATTGTAATCTGAAATCAAAAAATCGTATAAGCATTTTTATTAGTTTAACTTCTTTAAAGTATCTAAGGCAAGCACAACTGTTGCAAAAAGGTAAGGTTTAAAAAATTCTATATTATAGCATCAAAATCGGTGCTTGTTTATGGTAATTAGAACAGGAAGGACTCATAATGCAACTAAACAGATGCCTGCATTGAGTCTGGTCCGATTCCTGAGTCACATAAGGCATTATCGTGATGTTCAAACATTTTCATAGTAGTATGAAGTCTTTAAGTATAAATACGGCAGAGGACAGTTCTATACTTTTTATTTACACACCTTGTATAGGCCAAGGTTAAAATCTTGGTATGATATCAGTTTAATTTCAGCATAAGTTCCAGTGGTCCTCATTTTGAATCTTACACAACCACTAGTAGCCCGGTACATTGTTTGGCGGTCATCTTTAGTTAAAACTGAAAATAAAAACAAATACAAATTCAAATACTGGCATCCTGAATAGGTAAACTAAGCTTGCACTCTGTTGCATAATATACAGAACCAGAAATACCTACCTATTACAACTAATGATAAATGATGCATTACTTTTAGAGTACCTAATCACTAAAAAGCCCTAGTTTCAGCCCTTGGAAAACATAAATAATAAAATTAGTCACCTTGGAGTATTTCCCTACAAATTTTATACCACTAGTTTCAGTCATATTATTATCACCTGAGTAATGTAAAAGTGCATCATCTAATTAGGCCTTTACAGTATCATTCAACCAAAATGTAACATTGAGTGATTTCATGGATTTACTGGACATTTTACAGTAAGATAGAAGTAAGCTCCTAAGAAATATAATAACAATGAGTAGGTAGCATTGTCCACAGTCATGGGTACTTGCCCCCTAGGTCTGTCTAGTACCTATATTTATGATCATGTCTTACCCCTCTTTCTACCCCCTAATTTATTACAGTAGGTTAACTAAAAATCTAAATATTTTGTAACAAATATTGATGGGACAAAAATAACCCAGCGGCAGTTCTAGGTAAATCATTAAGTTATTCTTTAAATATTATCTTTTTACAACTGAAAACAATAATTATTACTTAAAATACACAATATAGTCAAAATGTTTCGTGCACCTAACTTTAAAAATGGTTTCATTGTATTTCTTTTTTCAATTCTTGGTGTTGATTATATAAACTAAATAACTTAAAATATAAATAACTAAAAACTTTTAAATTTAAAATAAATTTTACTTTAAAATTAAAATGCAAATGGGACAAAATTGGGACATTGGCCTTTCTAGTGTTAATCCTAGTGTAATTTTTAAACATAAGATCTTTAGATTTGGATCTAGCTTACATCAAATGCATAATCATAGGTTTAAATTTGAAAAGAAAATTGGGGGTAGCCAAAAAATTAGGGCAATAAAAAATTGGGGCTTAGAAAAATATTTCCGGTTTCTAAATAAATAATTGTAATCAAAAGATAAAAATATCAACAACGACATGGTACATGCCATTTGGTGACGTATTAGATAATTTAAATTGATTAACGTGACACACTTATCGGCATGATCAACTCGACAACTTTATAGGTACTTTAGAATTACGATGCTGATTCATTTTCAGGAAAAATATATCCAAAAATCGTATGGATATCAGATACGTAGGGAAAAGATAATACGCTGAAGTTTTTTTTTAAATATGACATTGAAATAATTAATATAATAAATGGTAAATGGAGGCCTTTTAATAAAATAATAGATTAATATTGTTTACCTTTTGAATCACACATGGCTGTATTATTTATAACAATGTTCAGGTAAAAGGTAAATTATATAAGAACAAACACAAACAACTCCAGCAATTTATGTGCTGCGAATGAGTTATACTTAACATTGTGCAATTTTTAATATTATTTTTGTTTATCGCGGGTAACAAATCATACCAACATGACGTTTCCACGACGTATATGATATGACATCACGATTTGACATTCGGATCAATGTTGCCATAAGAGTAATAGGGAACATGCAATATTTGTAGTTTTGTATTTTATAGAATTTCATATAAAATCCATACTAACATTATAAATGCGAAAGTAACTCTGTCTGTCTGTCTGTCCGTCCTCTTTCACTGCTAAACGGCTGAATGGATTTTGATGAAATTTGGTATGGTGATAGATGATAACCTAGAAATGGTCAAAGGCTATAAATAATCACGCCATCGTTCTTAGGGGGTAGGCAGTAGGCATATAACTAAATTGAGTTAGTGATTTTTAGTCGTTTGTTTAAAAAAGGTTACCTCATTCACGCTTTAACGTCTGAACGGATTTTTATAAGACTTGTTTAATTTAAAGATAGGATCCTAGGCCCGGACACAGGGCTTTACTTTTTACGGCCGGAAAATACCTGATCTATGTAATCTAGCGTGATCGTGGCTGTATCATTTGCGACTTCCAGAATAGCCCCCACTCTGCTCAATGATGGTCGAACGGCACATCCGGTGCTTAAACTGCAATTAAACTTATCCCATGAAAAAATGCCAGTCTGTGATATAAGTAAAAACAGCAAACGTGGACGTATGTTGCAGCAATGTAAATTATTAGTTTGGGATGAGTACCATGTCCCATAAAAGAGCAATTGAAGCTCTAGATCGGAATTTAAAAGACATCAAGAGTATATCATGGGCGGGAAGGTCGTACTTTTATTAGTATGGATAGTATGGATTCAAAGGTGACTGACTGACTGACTGATTGACATAGTGATCTATCAACACACAGCCCAAACCACTGGACGGATCGGGCTGATATTTGGCGTGCAGGATATTATGACTTAAACATTCCCTAAGAAAGGATTTTGATTATTTCAACCTCCAATGGAGTAAAATAGGGGACGAAAGTTTGTATGGTGGTTTGTCAGTTTTAAACCGATCGGGTTGAAATTTGGCATGTAGGTAGATATTATGACGTAGGCATCCTCTAAGTAAGAATTTTGATCATTTCTACCCCAATGGGGTACAAAGGGGATAAAAGTTTGTACGAAACTTTGTCAATTTTTTAGCAATAATGACGTTGAAAAAATGGCGGACTTATTACACTGAGAAATGATTGCTGCACTAAAATGTTAGTAGGTTATTTATGTGTACATGTGTTATGGGTTATCACGTTACCAGATGTATGAAAATGGTAAGTAGATGTCCATCGTGTCAATGTCTGTGTATGTTCTGCGTGTCTATAGTAATTAGGTGCCACACACAGACCTATAATCAGAAGCAGACCAAACATTTGCTAAAATTTGAGAAGCCAAAAAGCATACATGCGCAAAATTGCTTAAACTAAGGACTAAGGTCGGCTTAGAAATAAAGGACATTATTAGGTAAGTCATCAAATCATCATCAAAGCATAATAATATGCCTGCGCTCGCTCCGCTCGCTCGGACACGATAAGGAAAGAACTTGTCTTGAGAGTGGTCAGTATTAACTCGTCGAGTACCGGTTTTGTAGACACAATTATAGAACAATAGGTTGCGGTCACCGGTGACCGCTTGGTGTTTGACAGTTTAAGGAGAGGGAGATGATATTCTTAAACATAACAAGTGCCTTAATAAAAAAAAAATTCTCCCTTTACCGTATTTTATTTAAAAAGGCAATCTTTTATACTTACATTTTCTATGTTATGAGGATATTACATACATACCTACGTAGGTGTTAATTAATTTTTAAAACTATATTTTATACAGTTCGTAAATATATAATTATATATTTAATATCGTAAAATCGTAAATATATAATCGTAAGTATATAATAAAAATAAAAATTAAGATTCTCATACATTTCCGTAAACATATAAATAAAATTATTCTAAAAATGTATTATTTATTCAGTACCCATTTATAAATATTGACTATTTATCCCAAAACACGCATATCTCTGTGTAGGTACCTACCTAATAATGTCCTTTATTTCTAAGCCGACCTTGAGCAATTTTGCGCATGTGTGCTTTTTGGCTTCTCAAATTTTAGCAAATGTTTGGTCTGCTTCTGATTATAGGTCTGTGTGTGGCACCTAATTACTATAGACACGCAGAACGTACACATAGACATTGACACGATGGACATCTATAATATCATTTTCATATGCTGGTAACGTGATAACTGGTTATAACCCATAACACATGCACACATAAATAACCCACTGACATTTTGGTGCACCAATCATTTTTCAGTGTAATAAGTCCGTCTTTTTTCAACTTCAACGTCATTTTTCAGTGTAATAAGTCCGTCTTTTTTCAACTTCAACGTCATTGCTAACAAATATAAAAAGTGAAGATGTGGGTACCTCACAAACTTACTCATTTATTAAACGGTACTATTTAGCTTACCTCGTTTGTTTTATTATAGGTACCTTCCTCTTCCTTCCTATTCCTACTATGACTAAATCCTTATGACTTAGTCATAATAAACAAAATATGTACCTACTTACCTACATTTTTTAATTTTTTTTTCTTTGTTTTCTAATGTCTCCTACTAATACTTGAGTCAAAACTTAATTGGTGTAACTATTAGACCAGACGCAGATTACGACTTATTGTACCTAATAAATGGCCGCGTTGCCTTCCAAAATATTTGCACCATCTATCATATCTATCACTGTCATTCGCCAATATTTCAATGCTTGTTGAGATACAAGCATTGAAATGTTGATGATAACATTAATTAACATTAACAGGCTATAAGTGGCCAATGCTGCCTCTTCTCAGATGGAGAAGGTTTGAGCATTAATCACCACGCTTGCTCAATGCGGGTTGTGATTTCAAACATAAAATTAGAAATTTATTTTTTCTTTCAGCGTTTGTCAGCGGTGTCTAGTCTAAATAATCTTAGAAAGTACATAATTATAACCCGGAAAAAGTCACATTGATAATTTGCCGTTGGTAGGAGTCGAACCCGTACCCTTGTGCATGAGAAGCGGCGGTCTTGAACTTTCGGGCCACCACGACGACGTTGCGGAAATTAGTGAAACTGTTTAAGTGTGCAGTCCTAAATCGCGATATTAATGTTTTCGCACTGTTTGCTTATGTATCAGTGACGATTTAGAAGTGGTGGGGAGTCCGTTTTTCCGCAGGAAGGTAGTTTAGTGCTGGAGCTACTCAAAGTTCAGTACCCATTTCTGGCATCAATTAGTGTTATAAAACGCACGCCGCCTGTTAACTCGAGGCGCTTGATGTAATGCACGTATAGCAATATTATTAATAATTAATTACATTAGTATTAGTAATAATAGTAATATTATTAATAATTAATAATATTGCTGTCGAATCGTCAGGCCGGGTCAGGGTCATTACAGGCAACTAGTAAAGCAATACCATATTTAAACATGTGGACCAGCAGATCCTCAACGCTGCTGGGCCACATGTTTAGGTATTACAACCCCACTGCGAAAAAAATGTGACTTCCTTTTTGATGTTTTGTATTTCATTAATGCGACTTACATCTACTCCCACGATTTCCCTGCTACTAGACTAGATCAAGCATAGATTTCTTCATTACGATATGCAAACTTTATGCAGACTCATATTGTATAAATATGAAATACTGGCTAAAAATAACTGACCTGAAAGAATAATAAGATTAGACGCTTGAAATAAACGTCATTCTTGAAAATGCAAGCAAATCGGAAGAACCTGATGTTATACGCTCAATTTTATTAATAACTACAGCAAATAAAAGGACTGTTTCTAGGATTAGATAGGTAGCAAAGAACAAAGCAATTCAAGATGTCTGGCACTGGCACTGGCACACCGTCAGAGCTAGCTACAAGCGAAATGCCGGTCTCCGAGCCCGAGGCGGAAGAAGCAGAGGGTAAATAGTAATTAAGTTGATTCATTTAGGTATTCCATACAGTGATAGACCTACCTACTTGATTTACTGACCCACCTACCAGATTTAATGTAAGAAAATGAATAGTATTTTTATAGTGAAAACAAAACCAAAAGCTTAACTACATTCCCAGACATAATTACTAAGTAGGTTTAAAAAAAATACGGAAACACTACAATTTATTTTTCTCTCCAATTACACAGTTACGCCTGCTGCGAAATTAGCTACGTTCCCTCCATACCCGCCTTACGCCACGGAGGTAGTACCGCCGTCAGTGGCAGAGGCAATCATCGCTGGCCATGGGCTGAGGCTGCAACACAAGTCCATCCCACGCAAATCTATAAAACCTCCTCCGAAACCAGCTAGACCCAGGTAATAGAAAATACGAGGCATTAAGATTAATAAGACCTTTTAATCCCTGAATATATAGCCAGAGATGCAAAGTAATGTTACGGACATGGAATGTTGCTTAAATAAATTGTTGAATTAACATAACGTAACATCACGCCTTTTATCCCCGATGGGGTAGGCAGAGGTGAACACAGAAGTGACACCCACTTTTCACTATTTATGTTATGAGTCCCATGTAATAGGGAGTGAGCCTATTGCCATATACCGAGCACATTTCCAGACTCCGTGCTAAAACTGAGATTTTTTTAAAAACGCAGTAATAATAAGTAATAATGTTGAATTAGTTACTTAACTCGTCGAGTACCGGTTTTGCAGACACAATTATAGAACAATAGGTTGCGGTCACCGGTGACCGCTTGGTATTTGACAGTTTAAAGTAAGTAAACTTGTAACTTCTACCTACTTGAAACTTAAAATAATTATACGCTAGTTTGTCATAGACCGAATATAATTTAGTAAGCGATAAATAATCCTTATTGTTACATAATAGCTTGCAACTATTTAGTAAAGGCTTATCAAGCAGTATATTTTGGGTGGCCTAAGTAACTATGACTGCAAGTCTCAAACCCTATGTTCAGCTCCTTTTATCTAGTGATCATGAAATGTATGTTAAACATATTTACTACAGAGGTCCCAAAGCAACGGATGTGAAGATGACAAAAACTGCATTTCGAGCCCACGCTCGATGTCTACGCAAACATGGTGCGATCCTCACTGACCGTCTCGAGCGCATGTCAAAGCCGACGCGGCGCTCCATCATATACTTGTGGCGGGAACACGCTAACACGCTACCTCCAGAAACGGTAACAAACATCAAAATTAATTATAGTTTACATTTACACCATCGTTGTGTAAGTATAAAATGTGCTCAATGGTGATGATGACTTGCGATTTTTCAGATTCCGTATTTTTTTTTATTAATCTACCAAACAGGCTTATGAAATCATCTATCTAGCCGAACGACGACGAACTGTGAGTGGTAATAAAAATCCTTAGAAGGTACATTTAATCACTCGCTATATGCATATCTTAAGAAAAATATTCAAAATTTGTCCATGCAAAAGTAGTCACTAGTTATCGGAAATAAGGTCTATAATGGAGTGAGTAGACAGCGGTCAACGGTTACCGCTCGGGGATTAATCAGTAAATCTAAAATAATCTAATGTTATAAATTTATGTGTGTGTAGATTGCTCGTCTACGATCAATGTTAGACGCCGACGAACCATTCAAACCAGATCAAGCGTATGAATATTTTATCAACTTGAAAAAAACTCAGAAGAAAGCTGCTGCGTAAGTCTAAGTCAGATTTTAACCTAAAATAATGATTCATCAAAATAACCGACATAACATAACATCACGCCTTTTATCCTCGAAGGGGTAGGCAGAGGTACACATTATGCCGCTGTACAATGTAACGCCTACTTTTCACTATTTATGTTATGAGTCCCATGTAATAGGGGGTGAGCCTATTGCCATATACTGGGCACAATTCGAGACTCCGTGCTAGTTTTGAGATTTAAAAGAAAAAACCAGTAATACTTTACCCGACCCGGGAATCGAACCCGAGACCCCTTGCCCGGCAGTCGCACTTGCGACCACTCGGCCAATGAGGCAGTTAAAATAACCATAAGGCACTAAATACTACCTAACTTATTTTTTTATTGTAGCACATCACACATTAATGATATTAAGAAAGATATGTTGGCTATGGTCGGCGAAAAAAGGTTCGTTTGGGCAAAAAATGCTACTGTGGCATTTGCTAGGGGCATTCAACAACGATTATCCAGGCCTGGGCGTTATGCACTCGCTGATGGGTAAGTATTCTTAACCATATTTCAAATTAGAATAAACATCCTTGACACTTTCACACAGTAAGTAACAATTAATATTAATGTAAGAAAACCATTCGCTACGCTGCGTAGTACCCCTACGCCGTGATCCACTACGCCGTAGCACTACGAGTCCGAGCGTTTACTTTTTCTTTTGGAACTTTATACAAATTGTACTACTAACAAAAAATTTAATAACCGTTTCATTTTTGCTGCAGAATGCTAAGGTTGTCCAACATTATTATGGATGAAATTTGTGGTTATATGCACATGAAAACTCCTTCCAGGCGGAATACGCATCCAAAAGCAAAGTTCATGATGGAGATATCTGACAAGGTATACAACACTACAGTAGACGTTAGGTCACCTATGTTATATTACTATTTATACCCAATATTTGGCAGGTTGCAGTTTGGATCGACGAAATACTATCAGAATCAGATGACAGGATGCTAATGATGGACTTCGATGAAGACGACGGTAAGAGTGTTGTAGTATACGTACTTTGAGAATAGCGATTTAAGGAACTATTGTCAACATTTTCTTCGAAGCCCGCGGTACGTAGCAAGCATCCCAGCGACCAAGGTAAGCCGTGCCGTTTGAAATTGTGACAATCGTTCATTAACGTGTTCGATAATATCTTTATTGAAATTATTCTTTCTAAGTTCCGAGAAAAATGGTGGAATTTACAATAAATCAAACATAAACGATATTGAACAATTGTTTACAAATTCAAATTCCTCGGTTTGTTTTCTTTGATCAGCCAATTTTCTCGGAAGCACAAGAATCGATTGTGGCTAAAGGTACGTTTAGTAATATTATTAATATTATTCTGTACGAGAAGAAGTGGAAAGATTCTACGAGGATGAAGTAAGGCCCCCGGGGGAGCCACATGAGAAGGATAAGTCACCGTTGGTTTTGACACCGACTCCTACTGAGGGAGCTGCTACGCCTGACCCTGCACTGGGGCTAGAAGTGCCCCCAGGTCTCTCGCTCCCGCCAGCCGCCACCACGCCACAGTCAATTACGCCACTAACAGCCTCAACCACACCTGGTGATCAAACTCCAATAAGTACCGCTACATCGGCAGCTTCAGCTGCGGTATCTGGTAGCGACGTGAAAAAACTTTAGAGTGAGTGCCATTATCCCGTTTGACCCTTGTAATACTTTAAAGCAACATATCTTTACGGTTGTTACTTTTTTGTTGACAGACGTACTAGGTTCGAGAGGAGATGGTGATGGTTTCATGGATGAATTCCTCGATATGATGGGTTTTGTAAGTATTGTTTTATTTCTAAATCTGTTTAAGTACCTTTTGTCGGTTACTACATCAATGTGACTTTTAGGATTCAATCACCACGCCTGATTTTGTTTTCTACAAGAAAAGACAAAATCTCTGTAACAAATATATAGAAACAGTCCTTGAAATAGCTTATGTATATAGACCTGATTCCACCGCTCCAACTTGATAAAGATACATATGAAATGTAATGGAAATAAATGCGAAACTGATTCATTAAAAAACTTGAATACAAATACCTTTAACTAATGTTATAACAAGTGTTACTAACTACATAAGTAATTTTAAAATGTAAAAAATAAAGTAAAATATATTTAGAACTCTGTTTTTAATTATCCCAACTCCCATATTTTACAAGTGAACACGGCGGAACGAGGTAATTAATTTTACGAAATTTAAAGATTTTAATTGCTTAAATCTTCATTTTCCATTAGGTGCTAGTCCTTTCAAACTCATAATAAGTAATTTCTTTATAAAAATCCGTTGTGTTCATTTGTATCAGATGGAGAATGAAGATTTTATGTTGCTTATTTTTAGTATTATTGTGAGACATTAACAAAGTTTGTGTTTCTAGGGTGAAGGCGGATCCCGCTTTCTAAACTTGGGTGAGTACAACCAACATACAAAGTTACGATACGAGAAATAGAAAGAAAACATTTGCCTTAGTTGTAATTCTGTCTCTTTTTGTTGTAGATCGACCAGCACATACAAGATTTTCAGGTACACGCGTAAAAGTCTTTGCGCATACCATATTGTTATACGAGTTGTTGAAATTATATTTATTACCTAATCAATCTAGGAAAAATGAGGGACGCCTTCGATACACTTACTACTGCAATGGACCAGAAGGGCGATATGAAACTAATTTCTCATGGAAAATTTGACTTTACTTACCAAGAAGCATCTAAAGCGTAATAAAGATTTTTTAAGAAATGAATTCAACTTTTTATTTAAGAATTTCTAAGTAAAAAAAGATCTATTTTCCAGGTTAAAAGAAACAAACAGTTTTAGAGCTACTGAATACATTGTGAAGGTTGCAAAAGAAATTAATGCGAATCTGACAGAAACTGTAAAAGGCGTCACTCCGCCTCAACTCGCCAGGTCTATGAAAGGTTATTTTACCTGTTTAATAGATTTTGAACACTTGATTTATAAGGCATTCTTTAGAAGTCCTTATTTTGTCTATTTTTATTTTTTTATGGAAAATAAGCCGGTAAACGAGCAGACGGATCACCTGATGGTAAGCAATCGGCGTCGCCCATGGACATCGGAGCACCAGAGGCGTTACAAGGGCATTATCGGCCTTTGTTTATGCGGATTAGGAATTTGAGGATTGTTGGGAATTGTTGTTGGGATAATGAGGCTGTGACAAAGGCCGACAATATTGAACCTAATAATATCCCGGCCATTTACCCAAACGTTTTTGCTGTATTTACGGCCAATATGGTTGTGCAACAGTGCAGCCACATTGTTACAGAAAAATATTGCTATTTGAAACACTCTTTATCGTCAGATGGTGGCTTATATTTTTAATCTTGACTGCCTCGTTGGCCGAGTAGTCGCAAGTGCGACTGCCGGTCTCGGGTTCGATTCCCGGGTCAAGCAAAGTATTATACTGGGTTTTTAAAAAAAATCTCAGTAGTAGCACGGAGTCTGGAATTGTGCCAGGTATATGGCAATAGGCTCACCCCCTATTACATGGGACTCATAACATAAATAGTGAAAAGTGGGTGTTGCATTGTACAGTGCCGTAATGTGCACCTCTGCCTACCTCTTCAGGGATAAAAGGCGTGATGTTATGTATGTTTATGTATGTATTTTTATTCTTTTACTAAAAAGTTTCCTTATTTTTACTTTACAGATATGGTTGAAATCTGCTCCAATTACTTAGCACAAGATGCGGAATTTAATAGTATGGTGATACATATCCCTGTTAATTTTTTCACTTAATATTGTTTATTAGTTTTCTATAATGTCCGTCCATTAATTCATTAAGGTTTTGTACGGAAACTGTGAAACTGGTTTATCGTTAAGATAACTTTGTTATTGTTTTACACCTATACAGATATACTTAAATGTAGATATAATTTGTATTAGCGACTGTCTCGTTGCCGAGTGGTCGCAAGTGCTACTGCCCGGCAAGGGGTCTCGGGTTCAATTCCTGGGTTGGGCAAAGTATTACTGGTTTTTTTTTTAATTCTTAATAGTAGTTCGAAGTCTGGGGTTGTGCCCAGTATGTGGCAATAGGCTCGCCCCCTATTACATGGGACTCATTGTATAGTGACATTAAGTACCGTAATGTGTACATTAGAAGGGACAGGCAGAGGTGTACCTCTGCCTGTCCCTTCGGGAATAAAGGGCGTTATGTTATGTTATATTACTAAAAGTTACATTTCAGAGACAAAAGGCTCAGCTTTTCAAAAATTGAAAGAAGCCATGAAGAAAAAAGGCAATAATGTAATGTATCATAAGGGTCAAGTTAGCCGTACTTACGCTCAGGCAGCTCAACAGTAAGTTATAGATTGTAAATACATTAGAATTTAGACATAATAAATATATTAGACATACATACTTTTAGCAACGGTTAACAAATAAAAACTAGACTAGAATACACTAGTAAAGTCACATTATACTTCCTCCTACTGATTTCATCCTAGCTACTAGTAGTATAAACTCTAATTTAATTTATTATTTTAGTAAAAGTACAGTAGGCAGCAGGTCATCCTACTCTTTCCTATCTAACTCTTTTATCCGATTTTCAACTCCATCGTTTAGTTATAAAGTCGAAAATCGAATGACAAAAATTGGCACATTAGTGTAGGTTAATGTGCTGGCCACTGTAAGTTTTTAAGCTATAAGCTTATTACCATGTAGGTTAATCTCGAATTTTCGTTCGTTCTTCTATTTTTCTTATATTCACATTTTTGTTAGACTTGAACGAGCTCAAGGTCTGGAAACAGATCACGATGACCCCAACCTGTCGCAAGGGATACATGCAAAAATGACAGGGTTGGTACTAGGCAACATTCCAGAAGATATGAAAACGGAGATGGAAGGTAAAGAGATCTCGTGGCACTTTAATAGAAACTAATACAATTTACGTTTATTAGGGATAGTTTTGTGTAAATGTATTAGCCTGTAAGTTTAATTAATGTTCTGCC